CTAATGAGATGCATAATACAAAATAACCATTTCCAACGCTTAAAACCAACTGATTTATAATCTGTACGGTCTAAAGGACAAGAATAAGATATTTTGACGTTCATTGAATAAAACAAACAATAAACATAGCGATTTTTCTGTTTTGCATATCATTAAATATACTGAATAAATTAGATATATGTATAAATGTATACTACAACGTTTCTGCAATCGAGTGTATATATATATGCATATATATATACAGCCATTTGCAAAAATTATGGCCGCTTCCAATATATATACAAGTATATCAAAAGTATATATACTATATGTGTATATATATATCGTAGAATGAATTTCATAGAATGTCGTAGAATGAATTTCAAGGAAATAATAAAGAGAGCTTTAGCGTAACACCGCAGACCCTCAAACACTACAGGCTAGGAAATCTCTTAGCTGCAAAATTGTCTTCTTAACAAACGCGTTATCGAATTGAATTAAAATATTGATAGACAAGTAATGTTGATTAGAAATTGCCTTATTGCTCTTGCAATAGAACAATTTGGCTGTCTACCTTACCATCCATCAAAATAGAGTGCACGTACTAAAACCGTGAACATTAAATAGTACTAATTAGTACTATTTAATACAGAATCCTTTGTTTTCTATTGTTTAATTATCWYTATTTAGTGCTAAAAAAAAGTATTTGTTTCACGGATTTAGTGTGAGCACTCTATCTTAGAATTATATACAATTTTTTTTTGAATTCACGCCCAAGGTGTTTTATATAATTAATTTACAAACATTTATGAAAATGTACAAAAGTACTAACTAACGATATACTATGTCACATATAGCTATGTCACGAACTAAATAAATTCATATTATAATGAACATGTAAAGAAACAAATGATGAAACCGTAGAATGATAATATGCAATTATTAGACGAGGTTGAGTAAAATATCGTGAACTTTTAGTGGCGAGCAAGCAATAAGGCAAATAATTAATGCGAGACACTATCAAATTACGGTATTTCGTGATAAACGAGTTAATAAATAATTAAATAATCAAATAATCGTTCTAATAGTTTAGGCATTTTGGGGTTTTTTTTGGAATTTTGTACACAACTCACCACCACCTCCAGGGGCTAGTTTTGTTCTTTGAAGATTCTTCGACAAAGTTTTCCAAGGCCGACAGTTTTCGGGCTTTAAATCTCTTTTACTTTGAAAAAAAACGAAAGATAACTACAGATGATCCAATACAATATCAAGTTTAGTGAAATTTACCTCGGATGTCTTTCACTGAAATCGAAAATCTGGAGATTTAGGACAAATCAAGACCAAAAAACAGACTTTAAAACTGGTTAAGGTGAGCAAAAAATATGCTTACTTAATTTTACAGTTTTCCAAAAACAAAGCTTACATTCATTTAAACTTGACAAAAACAACTGAGACAAAATAGAAAATAATGCAAAAGGCAATGCAAAATACAAAATGACGAATTTCTTTTTCAGTAAATTGGCGTTTGTAAATGTTTTTGAATATTTTTTAGCTTTTTAAAGTGAAAGTCTAGGTCTTTGTACAATAACATCTCTCAACAACACAAATCAGTTAAGCTCATTTTTATAATCATACTTGCTCGAACAGCTTAATAAACAGTTGAATATTTGGTGTAAATTTATATTTCATTCAATAATTAGATAAATTATCTGTAGAAAGATATAAAATTATTGAATGAAAGTCTTCTTTGTTTTACCGATGAGACCCCGCAATAGAAGGCGAACAAAGCTGCATTTTTCTTGAATGAAAAACATACGGTAGTTGGTTAAAAACAACCGAATTGTTATAAAGATTTACAACGCTAAATAGAGAACGAATATTTGTTGTCGTAATATGCTCTCCGTGTTATATTTCCTCCAGCATTAAAATGAATTAAGCTTATCGATAGAAATATAAAAAGTTTTGAGAGAAAGTCGTTGATTTGTCGATTCGTCGAGAAAAATGCTTGTCAAAAAATAATAATATGCGATTGTTTGCTAAAAAACACACACCTGAATTCTTGAAGAACATTTCTTGATCCATCTTTGACTACATGAAAGTATTTTTCTTTATTGTTTTTGGTCTAGAACTCTAGCCTAAAGCGATTTTCTGTGCATTTGAGAGCCGCATTTGTGAGTAGTTTTGCTTTGACATCAAGCGGGATTCCTGTGTTGTGTACACGGACGGACGGACGGACGGACGGACGGACAGACGGACGGACGGACAGACGGACGGAAGTGACGTCAGCCAAGCCATGAAAAATCAACTCGATGGTTTACCATATTTTGTTAAGTATGGTGCTCCGCGGGCCTTTGCGAGCCTAGCCAGTCCTGTCCAGGCGCCATCTTGCTCATGAGGGATTAAGGCTGATGAGCAACAGATCCACGAAAAAGTCTACAGAATTTCCGAAGCTCTCTGCGAAATTGCCCATTTCTAAACGAGAATAAAACAGGGTTGATGCAAGGATTGATACCCAAAAAACTTAAGCCGAACGTTTTCCAAAATATGTAAAGAGTTATATTGGATATCTGTTCCTGGAAACCGTTAACGGTTGCGATCACAACCAATGGAAGAATAAAAAAAACACATTAGTGAACATGATGAGTGAAATCCTGCGAGCTAAACGGTTTTCCCTTTGCAAATGTAGGGTCTTCTGGTTGGACTTTTGGAAATCCACATACATGTGACCATATAAGGCCATGGAGATGACGTATAATCCGACTCCACCACTTCCTACGTAAATCTGAGCTTGCCGATTGTCAATGTTAATATACGGGAGACACATCGTGTCTGTTTTTATTGAAAACTGTGGTGACGCCATGAAACTTACTGCTAGAGACAAAGATTAACTCCAGACTATAACCATGGCAACGTAGGACATTCTCCTGGTGATCCTGATGTATGGTATCATGCATTATACAACAGCTAAATACCTTTCTAATGTCATGATAAACGACATGAAAGGGCTTGTTAACTGTCCAGCTAAAAAAAAGAAACCAACAATCCTGCAGAAGTACGGTAGGTACATGCTGTAATAGTTCTCAGCCGACATGCTTTGTCTTGTTGATGTGATGATGATCATATAGAATGAGATCAACAAGTCTCCTACAGCGATATTAGCTACAAGAACATGTGCTACAGACTCTCCTAGAACTCTGCTTCTTAAAGTCGTGATAATAACGATCAGGTTGAGGAGCATTGCACAAACCCCTTCCACCAAAGTAATGATGTGAATACGTTGGATAGTGTTCCAGCAATAGGGTTTAATCCTGGAATTTTTAAATGAAAACCAAAGTAGATTTGCATTTTCTATGTGGTCATAGTTGTTCGACAAACACCTGGACTGTGATACTTCACAATGAACACTGAAACCTATATCATCGATGACTTTGCAATAGGTAGGGTTCTAAATAACTAGTTTCTTGTACCAGCATATGCCAGGCACGACTGGTAACATTTTCAGGTCTACGTTTTTCTGGATGATTCTTGTTGACTTTTTAATAAACGGTTAATTTTCGGTGCTGTTTGTTTTATTCTTATGAATCAGATTACAATGGAGAGTAAGGCATACTGAATTGTCGTTTTTATAGAGGTGCTCAAAAAAGTAAATAATCTTCAGATTTGGTAGTGACAGGATTTGTTGGTCTGGTTTCCAATAAATATTTTGTGCAGTATTCAACAAGATGAGATTTGGTAGATCTTGTTCAATCAACGTTGTGTCCCACTGTTTGATCATGTTGTCTTGGAGATTCCTAAAGAAAATAAGTGTATGCCATTTGATCTTTGATGAAACATGTAACTCTTTGTGAATGTTTTTTAAGTATCCCATTCTAGTTATAATCAAGAATAAAATGGTAAAAAACTAATACTAAGAAAGTCACCAAACTGTGGAATAGGTACGAGATTTTCCTATGACAGCCACTTTTGTATGGTAGCCCCAGCATTTTCATCGGTAAAATCCAAACATTACACGTGTAGTCTTTAGTATGTGACATTTTGGCTAAAACGATCATATACATGTGGAATGTTTGGAATTTATCAATCAAAATGGTTGGGGCAATCATGCGAATTGAAGTTCATGGGCGTGGATGTCATGAAAACTAGAGTCTATTCCACAGTAATTTTTGTAGTATGCACCCTCTTGTACAAACTGGCTTACAGCTCTCGTAGTCTCGTTAGTCCACTGAACGCTTCCTGACTGATCGTGTGTATGTTGTTAGAGGACAACGATCTAAAATGAAATATTTAAAAAAATGGATTTAACTGATCGAACATTATCATATAATTAGTCTTGCTTAGTCTAACGAAATAAGGATAGTCATGAAATTTAAACGATGAAACAAGAGCTTAGAAAACCGATTAATATAATAATATCTCTACTACAACCACCACCACCACCACTACTAGTATCAGCAACTCAGGTAAGCAAATAAGTATGATTCAGCACCCGGTTTACTTACTTACTTAAGTAAATCATCTGTGTGAAGTTAAGAAAGGAGAAACGAGGAATGTATTGGATGTTGTTGCCAAAGAGATTTCTGGAATATTAAATAAAATTTTATAAGATAGCCAGCCAGCCAGCCAACCAGCAAACCAGCAGGGGCGAATTCAGGGAAGGGGTGCAGGGGGTGCGCATCCCTCCCTGGTTCCACTTTGTATCCCTACTTCGAAGACAACCAATACTGTTTTTTCCCTTTGATTCTAAGGGGTGCCCCCTCCCTGGGTTAACTTTGTGCGCAGCACCCCTCCCTGAACAAAATCCTGGATCCGCCCCTGACCAGCCAACCAAACAGCCAACCAGCCAGCCAACCAGCCAACCAGCCAATATTAAACCATACTTACAGTCGAACTACATTTTGAGGAGCACCAATGATCAACTTTAGATCAGTCACGTTATCAAACTGGCATCTTGCAATTACGTCAGTCGTATTGTCGCTTGTACATTGGCAGCCTGAAGAGTCACGTGGTTCACAGGTTGTCCAGTTGCGGACGTCCGCTGGGTTTCCTTTGGTCGTGCCATTAAGTTGCAATGACAAAAACATCAGGACTGTCAATTTTGTTTTGAATAAAATCTTAAACCAAAAGATATTACAAAGTTTGAAAGGCATACTTTGAAAATGCTATGTAAATGTACTTGAGTAGTAAGAGAAGGTGCCTGTTTGTAAATCTTTAAAACTTAAAATTTCATGGAACCTCGAGTGTACTCTTTTATGTAATTGCAAATGTCTTGTCCTCTTTAATTTTGAATTAAGTTGTCAAATAAATGACTTAAATCTAGCTCTTGCATACTGCGAGTAAATTGCTGCGAGTAGGAATGAAGTGACATCTGGGTATTTGTGGTTGGTGCATATTGTTATACGCAGGGGATAATGGCGGTTTCTACACAATTTATATTCTTTTGCCCTGTTCCTGCATTTCTATTCTGACTTGACCTCCTATGTACGAGTTCATCCCGCCCCTTTCCTCGATTTGTTTGATTGCATTTTTTGGTCGGGCGTTTTGTTCTTGAAATGGTTTAGTGTTATGATTTCTATTCTTGAATCATTATTAATCATGAATAACTAATTTTTTGTATTAAAGTTGCAATTACGCGGAGGAATTTTCTGTGCGACTTGTCCGGCAACGGCGTTGCGACACAAGTTGCATGGAGCATTGTAGCTTGTAACCTACAGCGCAATTTGAAAAATGTTGCGAGACAAGTAGCAGAAATGCAGAATTCGTTCTACTTTTGGCAACGATTGCGTCTCCATTGCACTGTGTAGACACTCTTGCAACTTGTGTCGCAACGCGGTTGTGAGACGAGTGGCAGAGAAAATTCCTTCGTGAAATCGGGCCTTAAAAGCGGCTTCCCATTTTGCCATAAGCCTTTAACTCTGTGATAGGTGTGATTGATTGTTGTCACACCGTACCCAGTAAGCGAGCTCGATCAAAGCAGCATTGAATGCTTAGCACAAGAGGTTATCATGTTGGGAGGCACAAAGGCATGGACCCATTCAACAACAACAAAGAACATTTCATCCGTATTTGAATTGTCTTTCATTAGAATTTTGTTTGGAAAAAGTGGTCAAAGAGACGGCTAAATGACTTCACTTTGACAAAATATAATTCTGAATGTTGAGTGTACTACAAAAGAAAGTGTTACCAAGTAAAAGCTTCAGATCCGTCTATCAGTAAATGTAAGTGGATGGAAGAGAGGCAATCATCTTGCGAGTTTTTTTATAATAAAAATGTAAGGATATTTAATAAGAATGCTCAGTAAAAAAAGGTATGAATCAACCCATTGTGCAAATAATGGCTGTGGAAAGTGCTGTGCTTTAGCTTGTGAGTAATGGTCAAGGGTATGGAAAACTGTTTTGTGTAGCAAGAATCAGCTGCCAAAGTATTTGGAAAGAGCAAGATAAACCGCCCGGTCTATTTGTCATTTTCATTCTCATTTTTTATTTTCATTCTCGTTCTCGTTCTCGTTCTCGTTCTTGGAGTCCTTCAAAACAATGAAAATAACATGGCTACACCGTTAACACGGAAAAGTAACCGGAACGTTTTCAAAATTCTCCACTTTGGACAAGTTTTCAACAACAAAAAAATTTAAACATCACTGTTTCTTCAAATATTCATTCGTGGTCGTGTAAATACAAGACCTAACCGGGTGATAAATAACACGGTTTCAAATAAAACTGGGTCCGTGTACCTGCGTAAACGGAGCCTTAATCGCTTCCGAACGTGTTCTATTGTCATGAAAACGGAAAATTAGAAAAACATGAAATGTTAACGAGAACCAAGAAAAAGAAGAAGGATTAAGAGGGGAGACGTGTTCGATAAATTTTGTTAGCATTGTTCGCGATCGGTAGCATTGGTAATCATCTTAATAATTTCGCCGTGGTTTATTAATGTTTTTTTGAATATGAGTCAATCGATCAATAACTGCGCAATAAGATTATCAATACTCGTAAACCAAACGAGAAAGACTTACCTCGCTTTTCGAAAGAAACATTTTAAGTTTTCAAGCGGTTTTCGTTCTATATATGTAGTCCTCCGTGCTTTGTGAGGTCGCCTTGGATTAAATATCTATTTGAATGGAGTTGGTCACTACAAAACCTACAGAGCTGAGATCGCTAAGGATCATGATGACATTTTATGTCAAACAAGTAGAGCTTCTGTTTGATATGTAGATTGAGGATTCTTACAGGAAGTCAGTAAATTAACTGGTAAAGCATCTCAAGTCCATCAAAAGATATCAAGTTTTAGAAACATACGTAATGTATCTACCATGATCCTTGTCGGTTTTCCATATTCTGCGACTCCGACGATTCAACAGCTGTTTGTGAAAATGGTTTTTCACTGCTGTCAGTCAAGAATATAAAAAGTAGCGACTGATTATTTTTGATTGACAGTAGCGAAAAACCAAATTTCAGCGTTCAGCTTGTAACTACCGAGTTCGCAGAATATGGAAAACAGCGGTAATAATGATCTATAATTCGAAAAATAATATCGACAAACGAATAAAAAGAATAAAGAGAAATTTCCAACTTGGATTTAATAAGTTTTCGATTTACTTTGCACACTGGCGTGACGTTTTGTCTTTCTAGTAAAAAGTTTGCTACCTTTTCGTATCAACATCAGATTATGGCTAGTTAACTGTGATTTGCAGACAATGGAAAACAAATGTAGTGCTAGATTGAGGGAACGTAAGCGGGATGGGAAGCTTTCGAACCGATACGAAAAACTGATAAGTATAGGCTAGCGTAGAATGGGTTCATCCCCAAAAAGATGTTCCATATTCTAAGGTTTTACTTGTGCTCATGAATTTACTAACGTTTCATCAAAGCGATTGCTAGAGCAAGAACAGAGATACCGACAACAAGAGCCGAACCCTTTTTCCAAAAGCTCACTATCCCAGGGCTTTCTTTCTCTCCAAGCACATCTCGTCTTAAGTACTTAAGCGCAGCATCTTTCCAAAACCTGGCGCCTTTGTATTCAACGAAGTCAGGGTGGATATTTTCGATGACCTTAACGAGCGTTTCTGTGTCCTTCCTTGGAAATTTCTTGAAATCCTCCAAGTAGATCTGGTAGGTGCGAATACCAAAGACAATAGCTTTGCTCTTCTCGAGTTTTCGCAGTGTTTGATACTCGCATCGGAAGGTTAACACACGGCCGGTTTTCTCGCCTTCATATGGTCGTACACCACCCATGGCTGCGTTACGGTGCTCATGGCCCACTGGTGTGTACAAATCGAGCGGGCCCTCAAGGTCATTGAAGACCGCCCAGTTTCCACGGTAAACCGGCGCATCAGGAGCCATGGTTTTGAAGAGATTGTAAACGAGAGACTTGAGATGTTTGGTGAAGCCGTCAACTGGTTGATGGATATCTAGTATAAAACAGTGATTGTGACGGTGTTAATGATAATCAAAATGACAATAGCTTTATGTTGGCATGGTTGCCAAGAATGAACTACTTTGACGATACGACGGCCATCTTGCGAAACAAAACAAAGATGACGAAAAATATATAGACCAGTTTCGGCAATTACCAGAGCCGTGCGACTCAGAGGACAAAACAATGAATTTCAGTTCTCATTTGAGTAAGATTCTATTGTTATTTTCTTTGAATTGTGCTGTATTGGGAATATTCTGCGAGGGGTCTATAGAAATTCGTGTGTTTGTCTTTCTTTTACGGGTAAAGGTGATCGATGTGCCGTATTGATTCATGTTTTGTTGTATTCTCTAGTGGTGAGCTGTTAATATCAATCGATTTCAATACTGTCCCATAGCTTTATTTCCCCCCCGTCGAAGTAGTCCATTGAGTGCCAATTGATTACTTTAATAGCGCTATTTAACCTGCCAGAAAATTCAAAAGCTGCATTAGGAAAGTTAAAATGGTGGATAAACTGGGAAGGTCTGCTTCATAAAGTCCTGCCTCGTGTATCATAGACTTAATACAGAAGAAACAATTTTTTTACGCACATAATATTTTTGCGCGCTGATTGGTTGAATTGTGGTAAATAAGAGTTCATACAACAGCGAATTACGATTGGTCCGCGCATGGAGCCAGCGCTCGGTTGATATGGTTTTTCTTCTAAACCTTTTTCTTGTTTTTTTTAATATGATTATGATTATGATTATGATTATGATTATGATTATGATTATGATTATGATTATGATTATGATTATGATTATGATTATGGTTATG